TGCTCAACTATGACAATGTAGTGGACACGGGCTCCGAGACCGATGAGGAGGACAAGCTTCAGATTGCTGAGGAGGACGGGCTGGCCAACCCCCTGGACCAGGAGCGGAGTCCAGCTGGCGTGGCCAACCATGAGTCCTCCCCGCACGTGAGCCAAGCTCTGCTGCCCAGAGAGGAAGAGGAAGATGAGATAAGGGAGGGCGGAGTGGAACATACCTGGCACAGCAGCGACATTCTGCAAGCCTCTGTAGATGGTCCAGGTAAGTGTCAGAAAACACTTGGCCCCCCGCCGGTGCCCTCTTACGCTAATCTCTCCTACCTCGTGGACCAGCCACAACCAGACAATTAAAATATTTCTTCCCACGGCCCTGGCAGCGTAGAGATACCAAAGCTGGCGACAAATGATGAAGCGATAGCCGTGTGATCACGTTTCACCACTGACACCTTAGGAAGGGGTTAGGATTCGGTGCTGTAGCATGTTGCATACAGGCACACACCTTAGGCACACACCGCACGGAGTACCTGCACCAGGTGTGTGGTGTGCGAGCCACATAGCATGATCCAGATCTGTGCTTTCGGGATAGAACTTGGAAGCCATGTGAGCACCCACAACTGACATCATTTTGAAAGTTTCGTGTGGAAATGGTGCAGCGATATCAACGAAAGAGCTGCCAGGGTAATATTGTCGCAGTGTCTGTCTGACACCTCCTGTTCTAAGCCAACCATCTAATCATCCTCCTTTGCGAAGTGTGAATGTGATTTCACACTTTTACCTGGTCAGGTAGCTTCTTTATTATTTAACAGCTAAGCACTTGATAATGATGCCCGGCTATTTCTGGGGAATCTCTGGGGAAGGAAAAGTGGCCGAGGCCAGCTGTGATAAAAAAAAAAAAAAATAAATAAGGTAAATGATGTTCAAACTAAAACTTGGTTTGCCACAGGGCGGATGGAAATGATTCGGTCTAGGCTCACTTAGGATGGAACATCGCAAAGGTGTGACAGGATTAGCAAAAGAGAAGTAGTCTTAGTTCCCAGCATTCCCTCTGCTCATCCTTACTTGGGAAGGTGGCCTATAATTTTTTTTAAATGACTCCTAATTTACCATTGTGTCTCCTTAATCTCGAGTCCCAGCACCCAGAGAAAGTCATCATGGTTTACCCCACCTTGTTTTTTCTTTGCAATAAAAATAACTGCAGGTTTTTATAGATAGGTGAAGTGAGGGGGAAGGGAAATAGGCACGAGTCTACCTATTGCATGCCAACTATAAGAGAAAATTAAAATAAAGAGTCTACCTATGTGCTAGTGTGATGTCGCAGACTACACACATTGAACATAGGCAGAGGAATTGTTTAGTATTCTGGAAGGAGGAAAATAAAAGCACTTCCACTAACCAAAGAAAATTAAATGTGAAGGAAAAAAAAAATAGAAGAAAAGACTGATGCCAGTGTGAGTGCGGTGTATTTGTTTTCTCGTTGTCCTGATATACTGTGCCAAGTTTTGTACTCTTTCTGTTTCCAATTTTGCTTTCGGTGAAGGTTTCTCGAATCTCAGCAATCCCACACATAAACATTTATCGTTATATCCATTAAGTCTTAAGGTTTTAGATTTTCAACTATGAGGGAGAACTCAGCCAAAGATGCTTGAAAGATAAATACGTTTAATTAGGGGCAGAGGATGATCATTAAAGGAAGTCTGACTGCTGCAGAAGTCATTAACAATCTTAAATGAAATTTTTATTTTTATGATAGCCATTTACATGTATAATAAGAGCCAATGATTCTTGGGAGCAGTGTGACAGAAAAAGAGTGTGGCGAGAACTCATGTAAGACATACTATTTAAATGAGCTGGTGTTAGCTATTCATATTTGTTAATGAACTAGATATGCAGGGCTATAAGAATGAATGTTCTGATGCTTTAAATTTTAATATCTAGAAATCAAGGGTAAGGACCAATTACTCGAATTTCCAACCTTAAAGGAATAATTAATAACGATATAACAAATGTGCCTCTCCAAACTTAAAAAAAAAAAAAGTTTAATTTAAAAAAATTAAGATTGGTAATTGAAAAACAGCCAAAACTCCATGTTAAGCTGTAGGTAGTATGTGACCACGGCAGCTTTTTCTATGCTGGTCATGGGTCACGATTCTAAATGTTTTAATATACCATAATCCATACAAATGCCTGATGGACCCTGTTAGCACCTGTAGTTAATGGTGCCTGAGATACAAATGAACAGGCTGTTCTTTGCTCTTACCTTGATGGTAAATAAACTAGCATTCTGGAGTCACGATAATTAAATAAAATGTAAATTCCTAATCTCATTGGGCTATTTGGACCCAGAAAGTTTACCCGGTTATTACCTGTCTAGTTCTAATGCTTAGTCGTGATTTATTGTCCTTTTTTTTATTATTATTATTATTCCAAAAGTGGTGCCTTGATGTCTAATGAAAAGAAATTGGTCTTAAAACGCCACTCATTGTTTATCCTGACTTTTAGATAACACATATTTCTCCTGATAAAATATTTTTCTTATTTATTGTTCAAAATGCACACTGCAGACAATCACTCTAATTCTGTTGCTGTTTTATTTAGTAGTGTTTTATCCCTGGTGCCTGGCTGTCTACCGTCCTACCTCAGCACATAGCTTCACTCTGAGATAAGCCCCTCTCCCTTGCTCCCGCTCCCTGGCTCTCTGTCCTTTGTCTGCAGGATGCAGGTTTTGAGCTGAAGAGCGCAGTGGAGTTCTAACTGTGCCTTTCCGGTTCCAGCACAATCAGAGTTTTGTGTTTAGAATTGTCCTTGACATTCTTTTGTCCCACAATGGGGTGGACACAGTGTGCTGGAAACCATGACATCATTATCACTGACACAGACTTAAATAAATCACCTGCATCTTGGCCTCTTTCTGCTTATTCAAGGATTCTTCATCATCAGGAAGAAAGTGCCCTTTATTTTCACAAACCTTCATCCCAAGGGTGACTGGAAAATGCAAACTTTTACAAGTGTTTTAAAAATAAATATACTATGTGGTTTCAGACACAGTGTGCTGAGTCAGAGGTGTCTTGGAAAATGTGTAAGGTTAGGCGTGAGGCGGAGAGACAGCCAGCATGGCCATTAATGCAGAGGGGATATTCCTAACCTCGGAATCGCTATGTTTTCCTGAGCACGGGTCACGTGGAACTTCATAGGCAGATGCACAGGGTTTCAAATACATACTTGGAAAGGCACAGTGTGTCACTTTAATAAATTGAGCTTGGTATTTAAAAAGAGTAGGTTGGTGCTCAGTAAATGGAAGCAAAGTGCATTCTAGGTAAAAAGTGACACCATTGCAGTTGCACCATCTCTGATAAAAGTTACTACAGAGTCCAGTAGACATAAATTGCCAACTCCACATTTGCACTCCCAGCATATTAATAATTTGGGAAGCAACCACCTACTGTCACTTCTCTTTACTTTTTCATAAGAAAATGACAATGAGGAAGGAAGTGCAGCAGAAATCTTGAACATCACCACTATTATGCAAAAAAAAAAAAAAAAATGCTGTTAAACTGTTTTCCCCTCAGTGACTTGATCTCTCAGATGGAAAACTTATGATACTTCTGACTCGCAGCTACCAGAAATCACATGAGAAGAACGAGGAAGAAAGACACAAAAGCTATATTTATATCTAGTACTGAACTTCTGAGAAATACCTTCATTTCATTCCTTGCAGAGACTGATAAAACTACCAGACGAGGGAGCCTTTCAAACGATCAATTATTACAATTGATAATGCAATATTGCTATCTATTGAACTTCTACATGTTTTATGCAAAATGTCTCTGTGAAAATAGGCCTTCAAATAAGAGACAAACCCAGGGCCATGAATGAATTCAGCGTGGTTGTACAGTTTAAACAAATATCTTCAAATGTCCTGAATGTTATATGTTCAGTGGCATTAAATTAGCATCTATTTATTTTACCTTTCAAGCCAATAATTTTTCAGTTCTGAAACCAGAAACAGACAAGCCGCAGGGTACTAATTGTAAAACATATATTCCAATTTGGCCGTAACGTTTGCTAGAACTTGTTCCTTTATCAAATGATTACGACTAAAATGTGATGAGCAAAAGATGATTAGAATAAATTCGGGAACTCAGAGACCCGTTTACAGAGTTGCTCTTGTTTTAAGTACAATAATTATCACTGGGAAGTATTTATACTGGATCATGTTTGGTTCTCATTAGTACTGTTGCTGTCAAGATACAATTTTTTTAAAGTCCATGTTTCACTTATGTATTTGGAGGATTTTGAACCTGCCGCTGTTCTTCGCTGCCCTCTCGCATAAACTACAATTTGGTGGGCAGAAAAGTCAAGAAACCTCCTGTTTTTCATACTCTTCACGTTAAAAAAAAATTGCAATTTTAGAAAATGGCCTTTTATCATGTATGCGTCTTCAACTTCAATGTTACATATCTTCATCTTATCAGAACATTGAGCTCTTGTTCTATCTGTATGTTTTCCTCAAAAATGACTCTGATTATCTCCTGGGGCATAAATAAGAAAGGGAGATATTTGCAGAGGGGTAAGGAAAGGAAGAAGGAAGGCATGATTTCGAAGGTTAGATAAAACAGTGAAACAGGTGTTTTTAATGCTTGTCTTATAAACTGGGCATTTTGAGTTTCAATATGTAGAATATATATATATATTTATGCATGTGTATATTAGTGCCATACAAAGAGGAGACAAGTATGAAAATAAAATAAGAAATCCTGACTTGCCTCTAACCATCCAGGGTTACTTGAGGCATAGCAGCTAGCATGGCTCTTTGTAAGTGCAAATACTAGTTGCTTTTGACTCTTATTGAAAAAATAATATCTTTCCCCCTGTTTGTCACTAGAACTGCCACCAGAAGAAAAGCCCTTCATTTGCCCCAAATAAGCACCTCTGTTTTTCACAGCTTGCAGTAATGCTTAAAGTAAATAAGTTCTTGTGCAGCTAGCACTATTGGATTCATTCAATTGCCTGAACAAAGCTATTGTTTAGAGGTTTACAACAAGCCTTTTCTGTGTTTCCTTTCAAAGACTCTTCCTTGTTCCTGTGGTTGGCATGCTTAGTATAGTAAGCCTTTTTACAATTTTCAAATGCTAAAGATAATTTTCCCCCACAGAAGAAATGAAGGAAGACTATGACACTATGGGGCCGGAAGCCATGATCCAGACCACAATTAACAATGGTACAGGTAAGTGGAGTTGTCCTGTGTCATGTGGATTTAGTGAGTTGGGGAAAGAATCACTGACCCTTCCATCTGTAATTCCATGATTTCACAATCAAATTAGACATTACACATCTCCTGTTTTGTTGCAAATCAGAACTCTCTGTGTTTTGGTATTTTATTCAGCAAATATACCTTCAACCCCTCATTTTCCTGTGAATGTTGCAAAAGCTGAACTAGATGAATAAACCATTTCAAAACATTAAGTTAGCAAATTTCTGTAATTTTTACTTTAAAAGATTGAACAAATAATTTTAAAATCAGAATAAAATATGCTTCATCTGGCCATCAATTGACATTTGCCATTCAGGATTCAAATGATACAGTGTAATTTTGTTTGTAAAATGTGTTGTTGTTGTTTTCCAGAAAGGTAAACCAAATTTCCATGAACGTTGATCACAAAAATTGGTCATCTGAGTTCCTTTTTATTCTTTCTTTATTTTTAATGCTCAGTGCCCTCTAACACTTCCAAATAGTGTTTTCTAAGCAAAGGTTTTATAAAGAAAAACTGACAGTTTTACTTGTTTTTAGTGGAGCTGAGAGAGAGAGAGAGAGAGAGAGAGAGAGAGAGAGAGAGAGAGAAAGAGAGCAGGTAGTAAGTGGTATTTTGTTTTCCTGGGCTACTGCTGCTGGATGGAGTCTCCAGACAGCTGTCAAAGTCCATGTTCTGTTCCCCAACAGCATCTTCTCTCACATTCTCCCAGCGCCAGTGCAAATTTACATAGACTCACTGTGTTTATCTCTTTTCCTGAATAAGGCGAGTTCTTGTTGGCGTTTCAAACAGCCCTTCACACTACCAGTACAAATATTAGCATAGTGCCCCGTATTAATGACCTCTTCCAAAACAACACCAAAAAATAAAATAAAATCACATAACTACTTCCACTCAACTCACCAATCGGGAAAAAAAAAGTTACAGTTTTGTGAAGTTTTAGAAATGTGAATGATTAAGGTTACATTCATATTTCTCTTATGTTGACGAACATCATAATAAACTGCTCAGTCTGTGCTACTATTTAGAATGCTTTTATTAATAACTTACAAGGTACTAGTTCACTTCCTTGGGTGTAAAATAAGAAAAATAATGAAAATGTAGTTACAAAAAATAAAACTGCACAATATGGGATTTGGGAAAAAGCATAGTATCCTAATTTTTAGGTGTAGCTCTGGCAATAACTAGCTTCTAACCTTGGGCAAGTCAATTACCCTCTTTGGAATTCACTCTTTACACCTGAAACATAGATTGAACTAGTTGCTTCTTAAAAGTGTTTCCAGTTTTAATAGTCTTTATTGCAGGGGTATCCTCACCATGTCAGATAGAAACAGTACAAAATAACTTCACATAAAATCATCATAATAAATACCATATGTAAGATACTTTCTACCATGTCCCAACTCATGAGGTCAAATATGGATTCATGTTTCTTTTAAAAATATTCAATAAATATTAAATTTCAACTTCAAGCATAAATAAATGCTAATTTTATTAACTTTATAGGCATTTGAAGTGTCACAAAAGTAAATTTATTCCACAAAGTGACAGTTTAATAGCTGTTTGCACGCTAGCTTTAAGATTCCTTTTCTTATACCGCTTGCTACTCCTTATAGTTTATATGTAGTCAGTCAATAAATAAATCAATAAGTATTTATTGACTGTCTTCTCCATGTTCACTGTTGTGGGTATGTGTGGTAGAAGATGAGCCAGGCAGTCCAAGACATGGTTATTATTTAATGTGGAAGATGAGACTGACACTCAAAAATAATAATTAATAAGTGAATATATGTAATAAATATGCAACCAATGTCAAGAACCATAATTATTTCAAATTATAGAAATGAGAGGAATCTCATCATGTTAGTATTTAGAAAAGGTTTTATGATGGTGCTGAAACTTGAGCTAAGTACATTTTTCATAGGCACAGAGGAGTGAGGAAGAGCTTTCCAGCAAAGGAGGAGTATGTTAGCCAATGAAGGAAACTTCAATATTTATTCAGAAAATAGGAAAAGGATTTGGCCGGGTCCTAGGAGGCAATTCGTGGAAATGAAGTGGACATTTTAAGTGGAAGCCAGCTGATGGAGAACACAAAGCAGCAAACACAAGTTTGGGTCATGTTACACTACCGTGACTTCTTTAGGGGAAAAAACCATCTAGACGTCACTGTAGTCATTCAGGCATAAAGTGATAAAAAGCTTGTCCTAGGGTGGTAACCATGGTGACCTTAGCAACATGACTTCTTACAGATGGACCCAGTGATCCTCTCAGTGATGGAGTCAAAATAGCTTCAAGATTACACTTAGTGTTTTAGAATACGGCAATACCTGCTATTTCTAGATAAATAGGAAAAAAAAAAAGATCCAATTTTGGGGAGAAAACCTTGAGCTGATTTTTAAACACAAATATTTTCATATAAAAGTTAGACAAATATGTAGGAGAAGATGAGAATGTCCACTTGAAATGAAGAATTGAAACTCAGGAAATCAGGGCTTCAATTTGAAAATATTTGAGAATCATGTAAATATATTCAGATAGTATTTAATATTTTGGGACTATGAGTCTTACAATGGAGAGTGTGTTTATTGAAACAAGTAGAAAGCTGAGGACAGGCTTCCTGGTGGGTAGAAAGAAAAGTCAAATTCATTGAAAGAAAAAATATTTTAAGAGAGAAGAAATATGAAGTATTCAGAAGGCAAAGAAAGAAAGTTTCAAAAGGGAGAGAATGGTCAATTCAATCAAAAGACTCAAATAACTACAATTGTGAAAGAATGCTGAGCAAATACAACAAACTTGGTAATTGGGAATTTACTGCTGATCCTCAGTTCATAACTCAGCGAATTATGAACTGTTAGAGAATAAATAAATATCTCCTCCCCACTGTAAGTTACTATATTTTCAACTAGCATCTTTTTAGATGCTAACTACTTGGGAAATTGAAATAAGATATGTCTTCTGATTGAAATTACTTATTAATGAGCCATATATTTTTCTTCACCCAAATCCTTCTGATGAAGATCCCGCTGACCTTCTTCTGTAGCCATCCCAACTTAACTGATATCTTCCTCAATGAACTCTTATAGAACATTTCAGCTAACCTTTCCTTAGAGGCTGTAGTGTGCTGTTAATTAATATATTGTCTTTTCCAAATTAGATTGCAAACTCTAAAGGCCTGAATTGTTTCTTAGCTACCACATTGTCTATAAGTGTGCTTTAAAATTAATAGGCTCTCGATAAATGTTTCTATTAATGAATGAATACGGAACTGTTTAATGTCAGATTCCATTTTTCTTTTCTAATCAAAACAGAACCAGTAGACACTGGAATAGATACATTTTTTAGAAATTGCCCTAACTGTTTTGGCTCAGTGGTTGGAGTGTCAGCCCACTGACTGAAGGGTCCCAGGACACGTACCTTGATTGCAGGCTCCATCCTTGACCCTTGTTGGGGTAGGTACAGGAGGCAACCAATCGATGTGTCTCTCCCAGATCAGATCGATGTTTCTCTCTCATATCAAAGTTTATCTGTGTCTCTCCCCCTCCCTTCCATTCTGTCTAAAAATCAGTAGGGGGAAAAAATATCCTACAGTGAGGATTAACAACAACAACAAAAAAAGTTAAGCAGTTTTTACGGTAAAAAAAAAAATTGTTATTAACTGGAATAACTTTTAGAGGGATGACAAAGGCAATGTCTCTGATATTTCTCTCTGAATACTCATCACACAAAATTCATTCCTAGAAAAATGTAAAGAAAAGACCTCTGAAGTTCTTCCTCAATTTTACAAATATACTAAATAGTAATGTTTAACTTTATATAAATAAAGTAGTCTTTTAGAATCTAAAAGCATCTCCTTCATAATCTGCTAAGTTTAAATCTGTAAGAAGAAGTGGGAAGATTTAGTTAAATTGAATCACAGAATTCTAAAATTAAAAGTTACACTCCAGAACAATTCCTTAACTGTAATTTGATAGTTGAGGAAACTTGAAAAAACAACAACAACAAAAAAAAAAACCTGCCACATAGCTAACTGAAGGCAGATTTGGAAATAAATCTAAATCACCAGACATTTCCTTTTGCCATAAAAGGGTTCCCACCACTCTGAGGAGCTGATGCTGCTAGAAACTCTTTGATATTTACCTACTTTGTCTAATTCATCATTAAATACTATGAATTTCTACTGTCACACTATCATACATCACTTTTATCATTTTAAATCCTCATCTTTCATTTGAGCTATTATAATATCTTGCTAACTGGGCCCCCAGTTTTCAATTCCTAGTTTCTTTAATACCTTATTCACCCTAGCAAAGTTAATTAGAAGTTGATTTTGTGACACTTGGGACAGATGGATAATAGTAACTCATCCCCCATTCCATTTCAGACTCAACCTTGAATGGTTCTCCATTGTTTTCAGAATGAGTAGGCTTTTGGGCTGAGCTGGCCTCCTTATGATCTAACCCCATCTAGCCTTTAATACCACTTCCCAGAATATGCCCCAGCTCAGAAAGGCTGTTTACCGTTTATACTCCTTTGCCTTTGCTCGTGGTTTGCCTTCAACCTAGGAAGCCACTCATTCTTCCTTAGCCTGACAACATCACACATGCTGGAACTTTCTTAGCCTGACAACATCACACACCCTCTGAAAGGTCATTTGCACCATCTCCATCTTATAGTCTCCAACTCAGGATTAACCATTCATTCCTTTGAGAGTCTTCTTATAGGATCTATTTCATTCTCTCTCATATTATATTTAGTCACCTGTAGGTATGTTTCTCCTCACTAAATTGTAAGCTACTTGAGGTCAGGAGTGGTATGGGGTATTAGTTGCTTTATTACCATAAATCCTAGAATGGTCTAGGTCAGAAGTTTTGAAAAAAATGAGGGAGCAAATGAGAGACAAACAACACTTGGTTTCCCTTTCACCTTTTCAAACTGACATCTTTCTGACCCTTGTCTGAAATAACTAACCAGGCAC